CATTAGAACGTTGGGGGCAAAGAAGGGCAGGAGGGGGGGGGGGGGGGGGGATAAAATGTAAGTAAAATGAAAATATGTTTGTTTAAATAATGAATTTAAGATGATTTTTATATTGGCGTGCAGAGCTGCATGCTTATGTGATTGTTAGTCAAATGGGGTAAAGGTCCACTTTAGGACACCAATCTGTCCAGCAAAAGTGGCAGTTACAAGGATTGGGATAGAACATATTATTTGACTTAAAAGAGAATTATGGGGTAAGTGTTTTTCCCCATAGTTCTCTTTAGGGTCACGGGAGGACATATACAAACCATGTGACCCAAAGCTCCGTACATCGCGGGCTATTGCCCGCGATATACTGAGAGCCCCACAGCTGGCCCGCCCCCTCCCCCTGTTCGTTCCTCCACTCAGCGCTGGAGGGTCAGAGAGGGGAGGGGGGAATCCGTGCGGGCAGTGGTGACTGACTATCAGGAAGTGAGCGGATTGGCGATCGAAAGAGCCGACCTGTGACAGCTTCTTTGTCACAGGTCGGCTCTAACTATGAGCATGAGTGGAAATCACTCACCTCATAGTTCTCCTCCTCCTCCTTCTTCTTCTTTTTGTTTTTTTTTTTGTTTTTTTTTTACTTTTTCTCCAAAGCAAAGTAAACCTGTGGGTTCACCGGACAAACTATCCAGGGGAGTCAGTATTCTCTTCTCGCGTACAGTGACTTGGGTGTTGTTGGACCAATATTTGGGAGAGGAGGACAGGGTCTTGTTCTTGAAGGGGACTATTGGCACTCAATGACATTCGCAAACATTTATGTACCAGATCACATTCATAGAGCGTGTACTGGCCAGGCTATCGGGAGTTCCGGGAGGGCGTACTGATTCTAGGTGGCGATCTTAATCTTATCTTAGACCCGATTGTGGATTCCTCGAGGGCCTCCTCATATCTCTCCTTTGCAACTATTAGACGCTGGCGCCTACATCACCCTTCCACTAGGGATTATACTTTTTTTTTCTCCTCTCTACACCGCAGTTATACCCGTATAGATCTGTTCCTCGTTCACCATAGCCAACTTTCTAGGATCACCCACACGGATATAGGGAATATTACCGTTTCTGATCACGCCCCTATATCGCTCCTCTGCCGGGACCATGGCAGTGGAGACTAAACGACTCCTTGCTCCAGGAGCCTGGGTTTGCCGACTCCCTGGAGCGGGACCTCTCCCTGTTCAGGGAAAATACGGCTCCAGACTCCTCGCCATACGTTATCTGGGAAGCGCACAAGGCCACTGTCCGGGGCCTTTTCATTGCCCAGGGCTCCAAGGTCAAAAAGCAGAGGACGAGAGACATGACTGCTCTCTTGTCCATGATCCATACACTCGAAACGTGCCATAAACATCATGCTGAGGCAACCATTGAAGCGCAGTTACTCCAGGCAAGAGAACAGCTCCGTACCTTATGCAACGCTAGGGCTAAATCCGCGCTACTCAAATGTCGCCGTACTTTTTACGAGTACGGCAACCAGTGTGGCAAATAGCGAGGGCCGTCCGTAAACAACATACACGAACATTCATTTCCTCGATCACTTTAACCTCGGGTGCCAAATCCTCACTTAATTCCGACATCGCAGATGCCTTTTGTTGACTATTATAAAACCCTCTATAACATATCACAAACTCCACCCATCCAGAGCCCCTCGGCACATCTATCTCATGTACAACGTTATTTTCAGGACTCGGGTATTCCCTCTCTCACACCGCTCGCTGATGGAATCCCCTATCTCCGCCACGGAACTGGAGATCGCCCTCAAACTTACCAAATCCGGCAAAGCTCCAGGCCCAGATGGCTATTCCATGACCTACTACAAACGGTACCTTTCCATTCTAGCTACGCCATTCTTGAACGCTTTCAACTCACTACGCACGGCTCATACACCTCCATCTGACTCTCTCAGGGCCCACATTGCTGTTATACCCAAGGAAGGGAAGGACCCGTCCCTATGCCCTAGTTATAGACCAATATCATTGCTTAATGTGCACACTAAACTTTTTGCCAAAATGTTATATCTACGCCTGGTCCCTCACCTGGGGGAGCTCATCCACCCAGATCAAACTGGTTTTGTCCCTTCCAGGGAGGCGAGGGATAACACCACTCGAGCACTGGGGGTGATCCACTCCACCCGGGCGAACGCCACCCCATGCATAATCCTTTCCATCGCTGCGGAGAAGGCGTTGGACCGGGTGGACTGGAGGTTTCTCCATGGTACGTTGAAGGCGGTGGGAGTGGGATAGCATATGCGGTCCTGGATTGGGGCGCTCTACTCAGGCCCCTCGGCCCAGGTAAGGGTTAACGGTATTTTTGTCATCCTCGTTCCCTATTTCGAACGGCACACGCCAGGGGTTCCCCCTCTCGACTCTCCTATTCGTGCTGTCCCTAGAGCCCCCTTCTGCGCACGGTCCGCGCCAACCCGGACATTCATGGCGTCACAATTGGCCACACGGAACACAAGGTAGCCGCATTCGTGGACGATCTTCTTTTCTTCCTTTCGTCCCCGGATGTCTCCATTCCTGTACTCCTTCAGGAACTGAGGAGATATGGTACCCTCACGAACTTCCGAATCAACTCCACCAAATCAGAGGCCCTCCATATATCTCTCACTGGTCCGCACTTGCATAGAATTTTACAAAATTTCCCTTTCAAATGGGCGCCTAATGTCATTAAGTATTTGGGTATACTTCTCCCCAGAGACACCCTGAATTTTCCTCCACTGCTCTCACGTATAAAATCAGACCTAGCCACATGGACCACAAATTCCTTCTCCTGGATGGGGCGCTGCAATATCTTGAAACAATCCATTCTCCCACGCTTACTGTATCCCCCTCCAAGCACTGCCTATACACATCCCCCTATCTTTCTTCTGCAACATACGAGCGGCCTTTACAGAGTTCGTGTTGCTCCGTAAATCACCTAGGTATAGCTACGATATCCTGCGGAGACTCAAGCACTCGGGGGATGTTACTTCCGGATATGCACCAATACTACATAGCCGCGCACTTAGCCCGCATAGTTGACTGGAACCACAACTCTCCCTCCAAACTTTGGATCGACATAGAACAATCTCTCGCTGAAGTGCCTCCGACCAACCTCCCTTGGAGTGCTGAGCCACCAGCCCCCCAAATACGCTCACACCCCACCATCGGACCCACACTAAAACTAGCAAGCACGGCCTTCGCCAAGGGCTCCCTCTCCTCTACCCCCTCACCTCTCTTTCCCATTCTTGACAACCCCTCCTTTCCCCCAGGTATAGGGCCACGCGCGTACCCGACCCTGAGGGACTTGGGTATCCATAAAGCCATGCACCTCCTGAAGAACTCGGAGTGGCCCTCTACTCACGCCCTCTGCACCCAACCGGAATACGGCCCTCTTGATTTCTGGTCCGCTATACTTTTGTCTCACTTCCTTTCCACCAACCCCCCGGTGCACAATCACAACAGACCACTCACTCCATATGAACAACTCTGCACCCAAACTGACGCCCCCCGTCACATTCTCTCTTTCTGCTATATACAACTGATCCAACCGCCGGACCCACCCTCGCTATGGTTCCTTTCGAGATGGGAGGAGGAGCTCCGGATCAATATACCACCGGAAGCCGCAGCTAAATTGCTGTCCCTTTCTTACCACTCATCAATTAGCAATAGATACCAAGAGTCGGGCTACAAAATTGTGACTAGATGGTACCGCATGCCGCAAACCCTCCATTCACTGTTCCCGGACTCACCGGACCAGTGTTGGAGGTGCCAACAGTCCTCGGCAGGCATGCTCCATATGTTCTGGTCCTGCCCGGACCTCCTGAAGTTTTGGGATAAGGTGCACGCTCTCACCCAAAAATTTACTGACTCCCTGGTTCCCCGAGACCCTGCCTTCTTCCTCCTACATCACAATAACATCCCTTTGCGTGCTTATTCTCCCTCACTTACCAGACACATAGTAAACGCAGCCCGGCCTTGTATACTGGCTTTCTGGAAAAAAATCCGAACCACCGCTCATCCGACAGGTTTTAGATCGCATTCATGACATTTATCTCATGGAGGATCTCATGAGCTCAATCTCTCCAAACTATACTTCATTCTCCAGTACTTGGCTCCCCTGGATGGCGTTCATGAGGTCACCTGAGAATCCCTACCAATAAGACTCGGGATAGTAACCCATATTAATAGACGTTTCAAATGACAGCGTGGGTAGCTCACGAACTGGACCTCACCCATGTTAAAAGAGGTCATGGGGACACTGAAGTAACCACAGGAATCTCCATTGGTCCAAGCTACAGTCTGTCCGTTACACACTGGAACCTATGTTGGAATGGAGACACTTCTGGCCTATTGAGAGGGAGAAGATGGACCTTTCACTAGGAACTGTATGCCTTGTAAGAAGTGATATTATTTTTGGGTATTCCAGCATATCTATCCACGTCTTCTGTTCCACGTTCTACAATAAATATTTAAAAGACATCCATGGACTCAAGATCTGGTTACTTCTAATTACACCTGAGGATAAGGTTATCTCATCTGGGAGTCCCACTTGTAAGGCCCAGTTAGGTGGAGGCACTGCCATTACAGTTATGTTAGTTCCAGACTCTCACTTAGTGGAGGCTCAGGATTTTCAGGTTACCTACAGATGGGTAACGGTAGCTGATCGGAGATGGTCACCTCACATGATCCCCCTCCCCAGATGCTACATGTCCAACTGAGGCTACCTTGTACAGTACACATGATTGTGGAAAAATAACTCGTATAAGTGGGGGCTCATAAATACAAAAACAGTAGTGTTAATGCTCGTGGCAGACTGCAGCATATATGGCATTTATGAATATTTTTTTCCCTTTTTAGTTGCATTTTAACTTGAATGTAAAGATGAAATATAAGAAAGCTTGACATTTATTGTCAATGTAAAAAAGTACTGTTTATCATGTTTAGTAACACAATATCACTAGCTCAGATAGGGTTTGCATATTGCTTTGCTTGAAGATAAATGATATTTCTTTTAATGCAGAGGTAAGCTTTTTATTGCTGGGGTGCTAGCATTGAGTGAAGTGAGTCTTTCTGACTGTCTTATGGCATAGCATGTGGAACACATGGTAAGTTATCGCTGCACAGAAGCTGGCTTGCATAAAGGTCACACACCTATTTAATTTTAGTTTTTGGTATGTAATGAGGATTTCAGTCATTATTGTGCTTCTTATGTTTCAAGGAGATGACAGTCACAATGTGTGTGTACTAAGTATGTAAAGGATTGAAAACCTTGTCAGGCTTTTTTTTTTGCAGTTTGTTTCTTTGCCAGTAACAGCACTATCACAGACTGAAACCCTAAGTCATTTATAACTGGATGTACTATGTGTCCCCAGTTATTTACAAACACCTGGAGTGATCAGCCGATCGCTCCAGTGTTTGTTCCACACAGAGGATTGGTACATACTGGTGACATGTACCGATCCTCTGCCGCTCGTCCACGCACAGGGGGGCTGCCACTTCTCTGGATCCCCCTGCTCCCCCTGATACTACGAGCCGCGGGGGGGCGGAGCCGCTGTGACAGAACGGACGAGCAGTGAGGGGAGAGAGAGGCGCCGGCTGTCAGATCCTGGCCGAGCGTCTCTCTCTCTCCTCACTGCTCTGCATTATAGTGACAGCGGCTCCGTCCTCCGCCCTCCCCCGCCGCCGGTTCCTTCACGTCTTCTCGGATCCCCGCTGGGGAGAGCAGCGGGGATCCAGAGAAGCGGCAGGAGGAGAGGACATGGCGATCGACTGGTAGATCGCGATCGACCTTGTGGGCACCCCTGCCCTAAGCCATTGCATTCTGCCTTGCAACTAATGTCCACTAGGTGGCAGTGGTGAGCCGCGGTGCCATGCATTGATTTGCCTAAAGCAGAACTCCAAGCGAATAAAGCCTTAACTCTTGCAGTGGGGCTACCAAGGTTTAATTGCTCATTTTGTCTAGGGAGCTAAAATAACGTTTATACTTCCCTGAATCGTGATCCCAACTGGCTCTTACACCGTTCCCTCCAGCCTGTCTCTTCCTCTGCTCCAGTGATGGCATGCCCCTCAACGTCCTCACGTTCTGTACACTGTAAAGGATGTGATGACTCACAGGACCAGTTTATTATATAGTGGTGGAATCCCCTAATAGTTGAAGAGATTTGTTCACTTAGTGGAAATTGATTTTTCACTAACCTATATTCACCCTTGGTCATAGATAGTGAATATACTTGCTGCAAGCACTAATAATAAATATACTATTAGTGCTTGCAGCAAGGTAGGGTTATTCACACATTTTTATTTTGTGCAAAAGTACCCTAGACCGCTTGAGCGGAGGGGGAATGAGGCTGAAGGGACCAGCCTAAGAGCAAACCAGGATCATGGTTCAGGTGAGTATAACTCTATACCCTAAGGAGAACTATGGGGAAAAACACTGACCCCATAGTTCTCCTTTAACTCCCTAGACCCATGGCTCTTAACTTGTGACTTGCTACCCAAAAGTGGGTCCCAACATTGTGTTCAGTGGGTTGCCGCGTGCCTCAAACTGTGCTAGGCGAGAGGCTCCTCAGCCTCCCACTAGTGCAGCACTGTCAGTTCTTGCGCTGAGCAGCCATTCAAAATATGCTGCCCAGCGCCCACATTTTTTGAGTGTGTTTGTGAGATTGTCTGTCAGTGTTTTTGAGGGCCCGTTCATACTAGTGAAGTGCGTTTATCACACATTCCCATGCAATCACACCTCCCGTGTGTTCTGTTGCGCTGTGTTGCTATTTTATTTGAACAGCACCCCAAACACACCTCCAGCCCACAGTTTGAACCGCAATGCTGTGTGTTCCAGTACCACTTGGAAAAAACCTCTATCCCATCGCACTCCTGACCAGATGTAAGCCCAGGTAAAACAGGGCGGGTGCGGCAGTGACAGCAGATGCCTCCGCAAAATACAAGTCCAAACAAAGTCACTTGCACTCCAATCCAATGCCAAGTCAGTCTTGTTTATTGACTAAAAATTTTGCAGCAACTTTTCGGAACCAGCACAGTTCCTTCTTCAGGCAAACGAAAAATGAACATCAACAGTACCAAAGTGACATAAATACATTTTCTTGCTCAGACTTTCTCAAGCTATACATCTCTTAAAGAAACAGTAAGTCCTGACAAGTTCTATCAAAGATATTTGATTAATTCTTAATTTTATGGACTTAGGTCAGAGGTCATCTCCTGGAATAATATTGGAATTTTAGGGAAAAATCCAAAATTATTCCTAGTCCAACATTGCCCTCTTCAGGTAACACTGGCTTGACACTGGAGTCCTCTTCCACTCCTCCATGACGACATCACGGAGCTTGTGGATGTTGGAGACCTTGCGCTCCTCCACCTTCCGTTTTGAGGATGCCCCAGTGACAACCTTTAAAGCTCTGGTGAACTGCATGCCCAAGAGGGCAGTGCTGGAAAATAATGGTGGCCACACAAAATATTGACACTTTGTGCCCAATTTGGAAATTTTCACTTAGGGGTGTACTCGCTTTTGTTGCCAGTGGTTGAGACTTTAATGGCTGTGTGTTGTTATTTTGAGGGGACAGCTAATGTACACTGATATACAAGCTGTACACTAACCACTTTACATTGTGGCAAAGTGTCATTTCTTCTGTGTCGTCACATGAAATTACATAATAAAATATTTACAGAAATGTGAGGGGTGTACTCACTTGTGTGAGATTTTTGCTCATTATTGTTTTTATTTCGTCTTCAAGATAGCACATATAAAGAACTCAAATTATTATTTAATTTGTGAAGTTGGGAATCGCCTTAATTCCAGATCCCGGCCTGTTTTCTTAAATTAAAAACTGTTTATTTTATCAGAGTGAACATTCTGACAGATCCTTCCTGGCTGCGGCGCTCTCAGTACATAGCAAGCTATTGCGAGCTATATACTGAGCTTTGGGTCACAGGAGGAGGTTAGTATATGTCCTCCCATGACCCATAGTTTTCTTTTAAGCATTGCAGTGCAGGGGTAGCCCCACTGCAAGGGTTAAGATTTTATTTGCTCAGAGTTCTGCCTTAAAAAAAAAAAAAAAAACTTAACAGTAAGCATCAGCATTTTACTTCTAAAGTCTCCATCCGTATATTGTGAATATATTGTGAATGCAGTTAAGAGTGCTTTCAACAAAATATGTTAAAATGGTGAATCCTACAATGGCTAGTATATGATCTCTGGGGTTTGTTTGTTTTTTTTTTTGCAGTGCAGTACCATATTCTGCTAAATGCTCTGGTTATTGGTTTTGCTAAGCCTTTATGGTACAGAAAAAAACAAAACAACTATGAAGTAAAGTCCTGTATCCACTAGCTTTGTTTTGTTGTATTTACAGTACTTATTTTTTTCTTTTATACAAAAAAAAATGGTCAAAGCTATTTTCAACAAGATCAAAATTATGTTCAAAAGGTTAGTGTTTTTTTTAGCAATGTACAAATCTGTTATTTTTACTAAATTTGTAACAAAAGCTTAGATTGCTGTGAGTAATTGGTACCATATACAGGAATTTTACAGTTTATTATACTATAATCATTTTCTTAAATAATACCCTAAAACTTTTCTCTCCCAGGTTAACAGTAAGTGGATCAATGCATTAGAAGATGGCGTGTGCCATATGCTGCCATTGGATGACTGCGGAACTGAAACATTAGCTGTCACTTTAATAGATGCCAACCATTGCCCTGGCTCTGTTATGTTCCTGTTTGAGGGATACTTTGGTACTATCTTATACACAGGTAAATCTAGTGTGACATGATCTCCCTTCCTATAGCCCTGAATACAGGACATGTAGGTATATTAAAATGAGTGAGCCAAAAACAAAAATCTCTAACTAAAATATTAGTTACAGAGGACTTTTTTGGTTACTTGTAATTGCCAAAAAAGCTGAGTGGTTCTTGTCCTTCGCATCCATATCTTGCTCTTATGAATGCTATCAAGCTTGAAACAGATTTAATCATACTAAAAAACACATATCAAAGTTTATATTTAAGCTGCATTTGTACTATAAAACGAATTGTTTTATAGTGAACACACAAAAAATGCAGAGAAAGTGCACTATTACTCGCAGTAATGTTGGTTACCTTTATTATTGTTTGGGTCTGCCACCAGGCTGTGGCAGGTGGGCAGAACTAAATTTGTTTGGTAGACTTGTCTACTACCAAGTTTCAGAAGATTAAAAAAAGCACAGAAAGAGGGGAGGGGAGGGCACTTTACAAGTGCAATTAATTTTCTAAAGTTTTTATGCAATATCGCATTGTGGCTACTAGATGGAGCCAAAGAAGCTTAAGTATTTATTTTCTATGCCCCTCAGCACCATCTAGTGGCCTTAATGGAATATGTCATTACATAAACATTTTTGGAAAAGTATTGCCTTGCAAAGAAAATACTAAACGTTCCTTTTGGTATATATCCACACAGAACGAACGTTCAGATATTCACAGAGCGAAGGGCCCTGCGGATAGTTTATAAATGGACATCTATGAGCATGCTTTGAAATTAATGGCTCCACGACATTCCTGTTATCCCACCTGAGCAGTAGCAGGTCACAGTGCAGGGGTGAATAAGGCTGAGTGAAGTTTTTACACTTCTGTACTTCCTGTCATAGTTCTAGCCCCAGATCTATTATGTAGGAGTCCTGGAAATAAGGGTAATCCCACCGTCTACTTCCTCTACAGTGTTTGAAATAACAATTTTGCTGTATTTCACACAGGTGATTTCCGCTACAGCCCACTGATGCTAAAATATCCTCCTTTAATGAACAAGAAGATTGATGTCCTGTACTTGGATAATACAAACTGTGACCCTGAAAGCAAGCTGCCTTCTCGACAGGAAGCCACAAAAGAAATAGAAGATATAATTGAGGAACATCCAGAGCATGACATCGTGATTGGTAAATAAGTGTATTTGTTACATTAAAAAGAACAAAAGTCTAGATTAAGTACATTGATATATATCATATACAACATTATTATTATACAGGATTTATATAGCGCCAACAGTTTGCGCAGATCTTTACAAAACTGTGGGAGACCATATAATTTCAGTGCAGGAGGTAGGAGGGCCCTACCTCCTGCAAGTGATACAAAAGGTAATAGGTTTTTGGGATGATTTAAAAGTACTGTTATATCAAGGTGGAATAGGCCATCCCTGAAGAGATGAGTTTTCAAGGATCGGCTAAACGTGGACAGAGTAGGAGGATAGGCGGACAGATTGGGGTAGGGAGTTCCAGAGGATGGGAGACACTCTGGAAAAATCCTGGAGGCGAGCATGCAAGGAGGTAATGAGAGCTGGAGAGCAGGATGTCTTGAGAAGGGACGGTTTGGGTGATATTTTAAGATGAGGTCAGTGATATAGGTTGGGGCAGAGTTGTAGATGGCTTTTAGGTTATTTGTTAGTATTTTGAATCTTATACGTTGGGAAAGTGGGAGCCAGTGGAGCGATTGGCAGGGAGGGGCGGTGGATGCTGATCAGTTGGTAAGGGGGAGGAGTCTAGCAGCAGCGTTCATGATGGACTGAAGGGAAGCATGCTTAGTGGTCGGCCAACAAGGAGGGAGTTACAGTAGTCGAGGTGAGACATTACAGGGAGTGAATTAGATGCTTTGTGGTATCATTTGTTAAGAAGGGACGAACTTTAGAAATGTTACGGAGGTTGAGTCAGCAAAATTTGGATGTGGGGCTGAAAGGACAGCTCAGAATCAAGGATTACTCTGAGCGCCCTGGCTTGACGGGAGGGGCTGGTTGTAGTGCTGTTGAATGTGATGGAGAAGTCCGTGGAGGGAACACAGAGAGGTGGAAATATTATAAGTTCAGTTTTGGACATATTAAGTTTGAGGAAGTGGTGTGACATCCATGTCGATATGTCAGTGAGAACATTAGTGATGGTGAGGAGATATAAAAGGGTGAGCTGAGGGGTGGAGAGATATATATTTGGGTGTCATCAGCATAGAGATGGAAATAGAAGCCATGGAAGGTTATCAACTGACCCAGGGAGGAGGTTTAGATAGAGAATAGAAGGGGCCCAAGGACAGAGCCTTGGGGAACCCCCACAGATGGAGGAAGAAGAGTTATAGGTGACACTAAAGGTGCGCTGGGATAGGTAGGAGGTGAACCATGAGAGCAGAGTCTGGGAGGCCAAGGGATTGGAGTTTATTGAGGAGGAGTGGGTGATCAACTGTGTCAAAAGCAGCAGAAAGGTCCAGGAGTACAGAGTAGTGATCTTTGGTTTCAGCGGTTAGTAAATCGTTTGAGTTTTAGAAGGGCAGTTTCTGTGGAGTGTTGCTGGCAAAAGCCAGATTGAAAGGGGTCGAGGAGGTTGTTGGCAATAAGGTGTCGGCTCAGGCGGTTGTAGACCAGAAGTTCAAGAAATTTGGAGGTAAATGGGAATAAGGAAATGGATATAAGTATACGTGTCCCTCCCTAGTCGGCTAACCCTTACTTAGGAATGTTGTATCCAACAGGGGATTGTTATGACTCTAAAGTCGGTAAAGTCTAATAGCCTGTGAGTATTATCAGTTTTCATTGGATTGTTTTAATTTGCAGGTCTTTACAGCATTGGAAAGGAGTCTCTTCTTGTTGACTTGGCTAAGACCTTTAATTCTTGGGTGGTTGTAAGCCCTCAGAGAATGGAATTGCTTAACCTATTTGATATTGAAGATGTTTTCACAACACAGGAGGGAGGAGGAAGAATTCGTGTTGTGGAGCAGATTGAGGTCAATTATGCTAACATGGTGAAATGGAATTCTATTTGTCCAACGATAGCTGTTCTTCCCACCAGTCGAAATGTGAAGAACTGGCATAAACATGTTTATGTTGTACCGTACTCCGATCATTCTTCATTTGATGAACTCAATGAGTTTGTATCTCAAATAAGACCTTGTTCCATTGTTCCTGTGGTGAAAACACAACAATGTTGGCTTTACTTTAATAAATATTTAAATTCGGAGACTGTAAAAAATGATGTAATCATTCCCAGTTCCGTAAAGGCCTCTATGAGAAGTCAAAGCGTATCAAGTAGATTGAAAGCTAAAATGCTCAAAGTTTCTGTAAATAAACAGTTACCTCGAGGAGTTGAGTTTGAATCTCCTGAAAAAAGTGATGCCGATGGTGTTGGAGATGAAAAAAAGACCACCAGGTCAGCAGAAGAAAGTTATAACTGTCAGCAGATAACTACTTCTGATGGGTTTTCTTCAAATTCAGGACAAGGCCTAATTCCAGCACCTTTGACTGAGTCAACTGTGCTTGTGTCTAACAAAAACTCATCCCCGATTACCTCTCCATGGTTCAAGAAGACTTTCCAGACTCTTGAGAATGAAACTGAGATGCCTTCTGCAATCTGGTCACTGCAATCTGGTCAAAGCATGAATGGGACAGTTCTGTCTGATGCATCTCTGTTGTATACAGAAATAAGTAGTAACCACGTTCTTTCTTCTTCCCATGCTCCATGTGTGCCTTTATCTTTTACAAGGGCAGACGGGCTTTCCTTGTTGCCTTGCAGAAAAAGAAAACGTTTTGGTTCAAAGCACTTTCATGATCAAGTTGAGCGATCTATTAGGAACTGTGTTCACAGAAGGAATGGAGATAAATCTGTTGCATGGCCATATAGATAAAAATAGTAAAGCACCCACTACAGTGTCAGTCTTCAGTTATGGGCTGTCAGTCTCTGAAGAAACCTGTATTTTATTGTTTTTGCTCTACATTTGGAGTGGTCATCACAGTAACATTTGGATTGTAAGTTTAAAACTTTGCTTACATTTTTAAAAAGCCCAGTTAAACACCTTTTAGCCACAGTTGCTAAATCTGGTAACTACAAGAGCAAGGTAGCCTCTGCACCGAAAGCATAACAGCTGGTGCCTGCTTTTACAAGGCGTTTTCTGTTTTTTCTTAAAAGACCATGTTCTTTGGCTGTTTAAAGTGTAAAATAAAACCCCAAACACCTTTTTCCTGTATTAAAAACTACATTTTGTAATGCAGCGCACAGTTGTACTTTGTGGTACACTGAAACACAGGTGCGTTAGTAAGGTGTGGTCAGGTGCCATTAACGTGGAACTAAAATTTTAGATTTGTTCTGCATCGTCATCATAATAATTTTTTTTTTAAATTTGCAGGCAGGCACTTTCATACAGCAGACATCCTATGTCTCCTTCAATAAAACAAACTTACCTACCCATTTGCACTTTTCTTCAGAATGTACACTGAGCTGCATGTGTACACCTCTCTGCTGGGATGAAGAAACTCCCTTGTGCATGGAAGTTATTTAGTTATTATTGGTATTTAGAAAGCGCCGACAATTTTACGCATTGGTTTACATACTGCACATTCACATCAGTTCCTGCCCTTGAGGAGCTCACAATCTAAGGTTGCTATCTCACATACATGCAGGGCTGATTTAGACAGGAGCCAGTTAGCCTTCCAGCCTGTCTGTGGAGTGTGGGAGGAGACCGGAGTAAACCCACGCAAGCCCAGGGAGAATTCCTTGCAGATAGTGGACCGGGACCCTAATCCTTAATTAATTTCCTTTCGGCCAGTCAAGACTGCTGAAGACCCAGCACCCAGAAGCAGGGGAGAAGTTGTGGGCACTGGTATGGAAGCCAGGGGAGGTGAGTTAAGTTCCACTTGAATGGCGTCACAGTGCTCCAAAATGCTTAATGTGTTTTTACCACAATGTAACATTGTGAACCCGGCTTAAAGTTTGAGATTTTTAGTGATGATTGTTTCTCCATTAAAAACATTTTCATACACTTTTCCATTACTATGACACTCAGGAAAGAAATGAGCGGATTTGAGTTCAACAAGACAGGAAGGCACAGACCACAAGAAAAGTGTTTGAGTTGCTTTGCCTGTTCCCATTATAGAGCTTTCATATTACTTCCTGGGAAAATATCCAGCAGCAAAACAGCACAAAAATGTGCAGCTCAGTGTACATTCTAAATAAGAGTGCAAACAGTCAGGTAAGTTTATTTTTTTTTAATTGCAGAAGAGACATCACATGTGTCACCTGCAAGACAGTGCCTGTCTGCTTGCAATTTTCTTTTTCAGTTTAGTTCCGCTCTAATTACTCCCAAGCACACCTTACCAATGCACTTGTGTTGCAGCGCACCACAACACACAACCGTGCACTGCATTACAGAACCTAGAGCATGCACCTTCTTTGGTGAGTTAGGCAGGCCATTGTATTTTATTTATTTTTTTCCTAAAACCTTGGCCAACTTTTTTAACTGCACTCCTTGTATGGTGGAACTGTTATCATGGCAGTAAGTTGGGAAACCCCAGCAGGTAAAACATGGCAGAGGTTCTGATCCTTCTCCACTCTATCCAAAAACGTTTTGGTTTGAATATAACCTACATCAGATATATATTTCCATGTTAAAGAGGAGGGTCCAGTAACCAAATACAATGGTATCTGATTGCACAGATTTGGTTCCTGATTGTAGGATCTGTGCTGTGTCTTATTTCACAGGTCTTTCTGCTAGAAGTTTACATGTTGATGCACCTTTTCGTTTCTCATTCATTAAAGAAGTCTGTGTGTGTGAGTGTGATGTCCAAATGATTTTTTATTAAAATATCAACACTCACATTGTGCAGTTCCAACAGAGCGCGATTATTGTCGTCATTATGTCTTTTTAACCACTTGAACATTGAAAAGTTCTGGCTGCATGCCACTGAGCTCCACTGGAAAACTTTATTGCAACTCAAACAGCTTTACATCGTCCGGCCCTTGAATGCGTTTCGACAAATAACTGGCTTAGTCTAGAGGGGCAGGACTATGCGAAGCTGGGCGAGTTGCAATAAAGTTTTCAGAAGGGGCTAAGTGGTGTGCACCTGCTGGATTTCCCTGTCTGGCCATGAGGGAGCAATGCTGTTATGTGGATGTTAATGATCATGTCTTTTTAGTTTGAACAGTTGGTTTTATGATCATTGTATGATCAAAATTAACTTAATGCCATGTTTTGGTTTGACAAAAATACACATGGTTGTATATCTGTATGCAAATATTATTGTTTTGGTAACTGCTTACGGGAGGAGATATTTCTAAAATAAACTTCTAGTTGAGAGCAGAATATTGGCTGTTGTATTTTCTTTCTTTTTGCAGTTGTATTTTTTTTTTTGTCTCCTTTTTCTTAAATCCAGGGCCAATATATTTCCATTGACAGTACCTGAAGTCAGTCCTCTCAATTTTCACAGCTAATAGGCTAGAAACTCTTAACAGAGGACATAGGGTGCTGCCCTCAGGAAAATACAAAAAATATTAAAAACAAATACTGTTCTGTCTTAAAGGGCAACATTAAAAGTACAAAATTCCTTTAAAGAACATGCTCGGGGGATGCCTTTAAACATGCACGTGAAGTGTCACAGCTATAGGATGTACTACAGAAAAAGTGACATTTTAGAAAGGGGGGGAGAGCCGCAAAATGACTTGCTGACTTTTTTTGTTGTTGTAACAAAACAGTATGGGGACCACAAAATACATACCCAGACTCCTCTCCTCCTCCAAGCCACCTAATCACTTCTACATCCACTGGAATGTGCCGCCTCCCTGCCATTTACTCCAGTCTCCACTGCAACTTCTACGGGTCCAGGACAGACATGGTAGGTGCCAGTGGGTAGATGTCTGATCTTTCCTCCGGTGAATGAACAAGGAAGTGGAGATCTGTGGAACTGGATGTGACAAGCATCACTTCTGGTTTCAGACCTTTTTGTTTTACCTCATCGTCCCACACCTCACCCTGCAGATCTCCTCTGGCTTCTTTTAGCCACCTTTTTGTTTACAGGCAATTGGTGCATCAGTTACACATCATTGCAATTTGCCGGATTTCTGATAGTCTGTTGATCATGCCTGCACAGTGTGTGTTCTAACCGCTTCTGGTAGTCTCCGCTGGGGCAAATGTGACAGGATATCATACACCTTGGATGTAACCCCATAACAAGGATTGGTTTCAGAGCAGCCCCCAAGAATACGTTCAGAGCTGCATATTTAAAAAGATTGAATACTTTATAGAGTATATAGACCCAAGAACAGAAAATGTATATATTGCAGATTACCAGTCCCTAGATGTGACTGTATTAATTTTCTTTTCCAAATGATGATCCTGTCAATTACACACTCGCTGTCTATGGGGGAGAAGCAATGTACCTTAGGATAGGAATACAGACACCCCCCCTCCTTTTTCTTTATAACATATGGTGAGGTGTTATGTATTCCATGGAGAGGGCTCAGATTACTAGCAGCATTACACGCAGGGCATTACACAAACACATTTGCTCATATTAATCAATACATTTGTGTGTCCAAACTGTATAGATCCTGTGGCACAGTAGGGGTTAATCACTGCTCTAACTTCTGCAGAGTTTACTCACAGTTAAGAGCAGAAAGCTCAGGTTTCAGAGCCACGGCCGGCCAGGTTGCCCGGGGAACACTGACGCTGACACTCTCTGGGAAGAAAACTTGCACTGAGCATGTCCAATGCAAAACAGCCAGGCCTTCCCCTAGTCAGCTCCATGCTCTGAGGAGGAGCTGCTGATCGATGATCTATGGCTGGACGAGCAGCTGCCTCTGTCCATGACAGTGCCAGACTCGATAGCTTCATTTCCACTCGCCCCCACGCAATTTTCACTCGCAATTTGCGAGGGGGCGAGTGGAAATTTTGAGCCCTG